ATATATATATACATATATATACATATATATATATACATATATATATATAATTGAAAAATGTTTCCTTCATGGGGAGCTTCCAGTGAATTGTGAATGCAGGTGTTACTGTTGCTGTCCTTTGAACTGAAGTGCAGTTGTCGATGACGTATCTTGGTGCTCTTATTTTGAGACAGTTGTATAACACAACTATTTAGTATGTTCAGTATGTGTGTTTAGTTCTTTAGTGTAACATTACCCTGTTACTTTGGATGAGGTGACCTTTGTATTTACAGCTAGTCAAAAGTTCACATACTGTACACTTCCACAGTACGGGCATGAATGTCATGTCAATTTGGGGCTTTTAATGATTTCTCAGTTCTGTTGCTGGAACACCAGTGAAGGAACCTTTACATCAACCAAGAAAAAAGCTCCTGTTCCAAAGATTGAGCACAGTTGGATGCTCCAACAAGATAATGATCCAAAACACACATCAAAGGTAGTTTTTGAATGGATAGAGCAGGCAAACATTAAGCTTCCAGAATAGCCTTCCCAATGTCTTGATGTCAACCCTATTGAAAACATATGGACCATACTTAAAAGCTGGATCAGTGCCTGGAAACAAATTCAGATGAACTCTAGCAATTCTGCTAAGGAGAGCGGTCAAATATCCAGCCGGAATTATGCCAGAAGCTTGTTGATGGCTACCAAAAGCACTGAGGTGTAATTTACAAAAGGTCATTTTACCAAATATTAGTTGGCGTGTGTGTATATATCTAAGCCAGTATGTATATTTTTAACCCTGAATTATTGTGACAAATGACCTGGATAATCTAGCCATAAAAATGCACTTTACTGCAGTAAAATAAAATTAACAAGACAATCTTACATCTTCCAGTTCATTAACAATAACCAGTCTAATTGTGCTTTTATATTTTCATCCACTAACAAACTACTTAACCCCTCCAAAACCATACCCTCTGAATTTCTCATCAATGTTATCAATAACCTAAAGATCAGTAGTGACGCACAAAGAATTTTAGCTTTTCTGGATCTCACTCCTCAATTCAACACTGTTTATCCTGACATTTTAATTCAAAAGCTGCATGGCACAGTTGGTTTAATAGAACAGGTTCTTGATTGGCTTTCATTTTATCTAAAGGGTGGAAATTTTTATGTTTCAAATGGCAAATTACAACTTGAACAACTCAAAATTTAACTAGGGGCTCAAGGGTCTGTCCTTATTCCATTGCTGTTTAACCTTTACATGCTCCTATTTAGTACTGTCATAAAGAATAACAATATGTCCTACCAATCTTATGCAGATGACACACAGTTGTGCTTATTTTTTTCCTCTGATGAGCTATCCT